TGTAGCTTTCAGATGGTAAAAACAAATTTTAAATCGGTTAAGTAGTACCAGATATTTAACCGTAGGTACAAACGGCAATAATATTATGAAGAATATATATAATGTGTAAAAAAAATTACGGATAAGATATAACATAATATGACATTTATAAATTATTAATAGGTAGGTACCTAATAATTGCCATTTCTCCGGAATACGCACATCAAAAAATGTTAACAGCCGATCGCTATTATTTATTATATAAGCACATATATAATATTATGTCATATCAATTTAATATTTATAGATACACCATGTAGACGTCAAATTTTTATTTTTGCCAATTTTGAAGTATTATTATCAATACTTTGAAAAATTCTTTCTCATTGCACGGTTAATTGCCCCAGTGCCTTTGTGGTACTTGGATTTTATATAATTTACCTGTAGGTAAATAATTTAAATGACGGGTATACACGCACTGTTGTAACCATTGCTGTTGTCCAAGCCTCCGAGAGATGATAATTGGGTGGCCATTTTTTGTTGGCAGAAATTTAGCGTGATTACCATATTATATTGTGGCAGCAATCAATGCGTAGGTATTGTTTCTCTAAAATAGGAGGATTTTGATAAGAATGATTTTGTCATAATATTTATGGAATACCTAACCAATAGAACAACCATGTAAAATTGGAAAACTTGAAAACAAAATATATTATGACGTATAAATGTATAATATGATAATCATACGAGTGTAAGATGGATCGACCGTTCGCGTTAATGCGATAACAACATTGTTTTTCGATAATAATGATAAACGTTCAGTTAATAACCGATGTCAATATTCCGACGTTTCTCAGTTTCTTTCGACCTCAAGTCAATATTAATACTGGTAAGTAATTATTTTAGTAAATACTTCGAAATTCGAATAATTGTGAAAAAAATCATCCGAATAATAATTTATTCGAATAAAATGTTATCTAAATAACATTGTATTGGAATAATTCCCAACTCTGGCCTTGTTAATGTCCAATCTTCGTTATAATTTAGACACTTGGTTCCGTTTCACTTCTGTGGGTTTACTATTTGCAGTGGCGCACACGTAGGGTATACCAAGTGGTGCAATTGCA